TGAATTCGCACCTTCTTATAGAAGATTGTAACTTATCAGAACTGTAGGCTCGATGACGTAGTATCGTGGTTCGATATAAAACATCTAAGTTGACCTGCTAAATCTATGTCTATATAATACTACTAGACGGCAGCGGATAGTGACAATGGCAGCAGTTAATGAGCCAATTATTCGCACAAGTAATATTTTTATTTACTTTACTATGTTTTTGGAACAAATTCAAATATTATAATAAAGTCATTAAGATATTTACTACATATTCAGGGTCAGAAGGGAACTCACACTCGTCTCGTACCTGTTTAGGGTACTTAGGGGTGGGATACATAATGAAGACTTGTTAGGACGAGTCAGCATATGTGTTCCGGACAGATACGTGTGGCGGCGCCGCCGGCCGCCGTTGCTGGCTGTCCCGTGCGGGCGCACCAACCTGCAGAGAGAAGCACCGCTGACGCGCGCACTACGTACTCTGAATATAATTGCGGACGAAGTAGATTTTTTTTATTGCTCACTGAGTGAATTCACAATAACAGCATTAAGAATTATTTCTTATAATAAATAAGTAGATGGTATAACACTATTGCATTGGGCTAAGCCTGTAAAAATAGTTGTTTTTAAAGAAAATAAATAAAAATAAATAAATAAAAATAAATAAATAAATATTGTGTTCCACTGTGACTCTAAATTATGGAATTAAATATATTTAAAAAATTATAATTTTGTTTTAACAATAATTGTTCAACCGTCTTGCTTACACCCTCTAGGCCTATATTTTACTATAACAAATCAATAGGATTAATCGAAATAAGGGGAGATGCAAGTCTTATAAGATCATAATCAAAAAATCCCATATGTTAACACAGTAAAACTAGGATATTACAAACATTTTATTTTCATAGTATTGAATCATACAAAATAAACGTGGCGGGAATGTTTTGTGAAAACGTTTTGAATTGACGGTAATGGCAGATGTCAGTCGTCACACAGTTTTAAAAGAAATGCTAAGGGCGATACTAGGAAGTTATTACTGTGGGACCCACTTGCTTGCTTCCTTGCTTCACCCACCAACCCCCTTAATTACGCAGGCAAGGTCTGCAACACAGCTTAGTTCCACTCATTACCTTCGCTGCAGTTTAGACAGGTACGGATGGTTGTACGATGAAGTAATAAATTACATGCTGATTCCTATTTTAAACTGGTTTTCTATTTGCTTTCTATTTAGAATTTGCTTGATAATAAAATACTATATAATACTCGTATCATATTATGTAAACATCGATACTTATTAATATTTCCTGGTTGAACATAGAGCTGTCGACAAAAAAAAAAGCCGTGTGGTGTCGTGGGACACCCGATAGGAACGAAGTTGTGACGATCTAGTAAAACTGATTTGACACGATTTTAATTACAACGCCATTTATGAAAGCGGCTATTACCTACATATTAAAAACAATTAAAACAATTTATACATTGGTAAAATCTCCTTGCGAAATGATTTCCTATCTATTCGATAGATGGCGCTGAATGTCTGACAAGATGACACGAAAATAAATAGCAAAAAGCCAACATCACGTGGTATTCCCAGGCGGTCACCCATCCAAGTACTAACCACGCCCGATGTTGCTTAACTTCGGTGATCGGACGAGAACCGGTGTATTCAACATGGTATGGACGTTGGCGAACGTTAAAGCAAATTTAATGTATGGTATCCACAGTTAGACGTCAATTTATATTAAAAGTGTCGTTCCAAATTTTCGTATTAATTTTTTCCGTCTAGCCCCCTTTCACAAAGCGCGATAAGGAACTTCGTTCCAAAACTGGATTTTTAAAAAAGTTTATATTTTTATTTCATCTTACGACCCACAGAATTGGTGTAGTGTGTTTAAAGAAAAGGCTAATACAAGTAACCATAAAGTGATACGTAGGTCTTAATATCAGCTGTTCCAGAACCAATCCTATAGCAGGCGCGGAGTGGCACACCGTGTGGTTTTACACACACCGCCTCGCCGTTAACCCCGGTGGGGTGAGGGCCTGAGGGAGACTCTACACGTTAATAAAAAATAGTTAAAAGATAGAGAGCTCTACGAATCAGTGATGCGATTATGTTTAAGCACTAAAATTTTCTTTCTAAAACTATAAATTCAAAATTGAGTTTATTTGTCAATCTCATTGAATTTTAGATAAACATCAAACAACGTTATTTTTCCATTAATAGTACATGGAAAGGATTTAGGGTTTCTTTACCTTATAACCTAGAATAAACTACTATTGCCGACGTATAATTTTTTTTTCATAATCAAAAGAAAGAAGGCAAAATCTGGTAATATTTAAAAAGTACAAACTGTCCGACTTACGATTTGTACATATGCAAGGATATGTGTACCTAAAATCTGAGATGCATTGTTTATTCGTCTCGCCATTACGTGTTCTATCACAATGAGGAGATGAGAGCTCTCCATTGTTTTGGCACAATAATTACTACCGATGCGACAACGTTACGCTTATATTGCTGTCATTGTGTAATCATGTACGTAATACTAATATAATAGTTGAGGTAATTGGACCAACATTTGTGATAGTAATGAGCCTCGTCTTTCACTACATTCTTATTACATGCGTAAAACTACTTGGAAAACTTAGGCCGTACGCTTTACCAAGAAAATATCCATACTTTCAACATTATATCTGTCTGTTTGTTTTCACGCTTAAACCGCTTAACCGATTAAGATGAAATTTGGTACAGAGATCGTCCGAGTCTTGAGTAAGGACATGAGGTAGTTTTTATCTCAGAAATCATCCTTTAAAAGGGTGAAAGTTTGTATGGGGAATCAGTAACCGCTTCATCGATCTAGATGACATTTGGTATGAAGATACTTTGATTCTTGACTAAAGATATAGGCTACTTTTCACCGCGATAACCGACATTAACGAGGGCGGAGCCGCGTGCAAAGCAACAGTTATAGTCCATCAACGTCGTGCGCGACCGTCCTGCGGGGTGACAGACGGTGGCGGGGACGAGGTACTCAAGATGTCAGCGGGTAGCGGGTGGTGTCGCAGGGAAGGGAAACACTTCTCTTCGTGTGTAGCCGTGTGCTAGAATAACGCGCTACCTCGCCCCCGCCACTGTCTGTCACCCCGCGGGACGGTCGCGCACGAGATTGCCGGGTTATAGTACTTATATATTATAAAGTGATGTAGCTTTTGTATTAATGTTGGTTTTGTATTAAATTGATATAACTCTTTTTCAATCAGACCTTACACACAATTGTGGGGACGATATGTGTCATTTCCATGGGTACCCAGAGCCTACCCAGAGAAGTTATAAAGGAGAACAACATTAAGCTCTAGTAGTTTTAATCGCAATATCACAATATAGTAGTTATTTGTAGTAACTATGTTTTATCAGACATCATGGTGGCGACGGATTAAGAATACAGAGTGTCACCACCCCTATTCATCCCGTGGGTGTCGTAAGAGCCCACTAAGGGAAAAAACAACAGCACTGCACAGAGAAGAAAAACTTGATACAAACTCTATACCAACCCGTCTGGCCAGCGTGGTTTAGCAGGCCAAAACCTACTTTCTAAGGAGTGACCTATGTCCAGCAGTAGACTGTTAAAGGATGATGATAAGACATCATTGAGAAAATGCATTATGTATATATTATGTATTATTGTATCTTGTGAGTCTTATGACTTATAAATATACACTCCTCGCATATTTCTCTGACTTACTTAAAAATTAACTTGAACAAAATGCTTACTGCATTAATTTCGCCTTTTGCAATCTATTTGTAAGCAAATTCAATACAATTGGTATCATACAAATAAATAAAATTCAATTGTCTGTTTGTAATATCAAAATAATAGGCGTTTTTCATGCTCACACGGTTATTTGTACAGATACCCATGCCTAGAACCTAGCTTTTTTGTCTGTCTGTCTATCTGTCTGTTTGTTCCGGGTAATCTTCTAAAAGGCTGGACCGATTTTGATGATATTTTACTACAAGGTCACTAATATAAGGAGGTAGGCTAGTAGCTAGGTAATATAAGGAGTAACCTAGGCTAATTTTCCTCTCAAAAAAAAAAAAAAATACGTAAAAATTCACTACACAAAATTAAAAAAAAACATTTTTATTTGAATCGTTATCTAATAAAATTATACTAAAGTACCAATATGTCTATAAATTCAGTTAAAAGCGATCTATCTTGATTGTCGTGTAATCCGAAACTTAGGTGGGTAGGATGCGTTTCTTGTCTTCATCTTGTATTGATTTTATTTGGTGGTTATTGACCTGCCTAAAAAAAAGTACTACAATATTGAGTAGTGCTCCGATTTCGATTCTACGCACTAATTTAGTATTGAAATTAGTATGTTGATGTCAAAAATATAGTGGTGCACTTAAAAGCGGAAAAAAATATTTAATGACAATTTACTAACAGAAAAAAAAGTTTTTACATGTCAAATTTTATTAGCAGTAACATTTGTTATTGTAATTTAGTTGTGTTAGTTTTATAAGATCCTGTAAACGGGCATAAATCCGTATTACATTTTTGTTTTCGCATAACTCCATTTGTTTATACCATCATCATCATCAACAGCCTTTACTAGTCCACTGCTGAACATAGGCCTCTCCTTAGGAAGGAGGTTTTTGCCTACTATACCACGCTGGACAGACGGGTTGGTATAGAATTTGTTTTCCTTCTCTTTGCGATGCTGTTTTGTTGTTTGCGAATTAACTCCTTTATCTCATCAATGAAGGACTCCATCGATTGAAAATCTATTTAAAATTTATGGCGTTGAGACAGACAGACATAAACTGCAGGGTAATTTATTTTTTATTTTCGAGTGTCACGAAATATTGACAACCCTACTACCAGAAACTTCAAATTATACATACCAATGTATCTGAATATCGAACATCGCGTTTGACCGCTAGCGATATACGCGCTTAGTTCTTCCTACCTGTGTGGTATTAATAAAAGTATTTTATTTTGATCCAGGTTAAAGACATCGATGCCGAGAGTCACCACTCCGGGAAGACTTCAGACAGAAACTTAGAAGAAAAATTGTAAGTAAACATACATTAATCGTCAAAATTTGTCTACAATGATATTTAAACCTAATAACCATTAGAAAATTGTTCCAAAGTTCCAAGTATTGCAAATGTGAGATGAATTTTAAAGATAAAACCTGCCTACAGATCTAAACACCCTAAAGGTACTTAGGTTATATGGGCACACAGAAAAATATTAGCTCAAACTTAAACTACTAGAATAGTAAGTCAATACGGAACTACTGATTGTAAGAAATGCCTTCAAATGATTATATAAATCGTCACTGCAAAGTATACAAGTGATGATTGTCTGCAGCTTTTAAAGGAAGAACTGGTTTCATCATCGTCTTCATTATTTAAAGGTAAATTCTCGTAATACAGATTTGCCCTCAATCTCACGTATGTCATAGAATGAATTTTCGTATGTAAAGTATTAGACATCCAGCGTTGCCTGTAATGTAGTTATATCGTATTGTGACCGAAAATTGAATCAGTGATGCGCTAGTCTTAGTAATCTATATATATATAAGAGATTTCCACGTGTATAGTCACTCATCACGATATCTCTGGAACCATTAGAGATAAAGACTTGAAATTTGGTAGGAATATTCTTTTCACCGAGTAGAGGTCAGCTAATAAAGGATTTTAAGAAATTAAAAAAAAATAATTTTAAATAATGTAAATAGCAAAACAACGTTTGCAGGGTCAGCTAGTACTTTACTATTTTACTACCAAAAGGAAGCAAACTACGCAGGACAACAGCACTGCAGAGAGAAGGAAAACTTGAAACAAACCCTATACCAACCCGTCTGGCCAGCGTGGTAAAGTAGGCCAAAACCTCCTTCCTAAGGAGAGGCCTATGTCCATCAGTGGACTAGTAAAGGCTGTTGATGATTACTACCAAAATATCTTTTTGACATTATAGATCGAGAGATCGGAACTGATTTGTCACTGAAATTTTATTACGAGAATTGTCCTTCTGAAGTACTACTAACATTGATTGATAAACATATTTTTACCAGGAGAGCTTCTACAACTCATCATCAACAGCCTTTAATAGTCCACTGCTGGACATAAGCCTCTCCTTAGAAAGGAGGTTTTGGCCTACTATACTACGCTGGCCAGACGGGTTGGTATAGGGTTTGTGTCAAGTTTTCCTTCTCTCTGCAGTGCTGTTGTTCTGCGTAGTTCTTTTCCTTAGTTGACTCTTACGACACCCATGGGATGAATAGGGGTGGTGACACTCTGTATTCTTAATCCGTCACCACACGGACCACACTTCTACAACTCGATAGCTATCAAATAAAAGAGAAAATTTGGAAGAGTATTTAGAGACTTTTCCATGTCTATTATTTAGTACAAACTCCTGCCCAGTAACTCACTTAGTTTTATCACACTTGTGGGTCCCGATCCACAGGCATATCATAGATTTTGTACAAGTTTAATTTTTATTAAATTTATTTGCTTACTATTTGACAAAACAGAGATTGTTGCTTTTGTGTGTATTGATCTATGACTTTAGAGTCTACATAAAAGACGATTTTAAACCATTTTTGAAATAGATAGTTTGAATTGAGTTGGTAAGCGCTAATTAAATATATAAGTAGTTTAGTGACAACGGCTCGTTTTAAGTTGTGTGGAATTATTATTTACCAGCTTTTGCCCGCGGCTCCGACGTCATAGATGTTGGCTATCGCGGTAAAAAGTAGCTTATGTTACTCGCTGGTAATGTAGCTTTCCATTGGTGTAAGAATCTTTAAAATTGGTTTAGTGGTTTAGGCGTGAAAGCGTAACAAACAAACAAACTCAATTTCACATTTATAATATAAGTATGGAAGTATGGATTAAAGTCTTTAAACCAGCTCAAAGCTATATTAAAATATTGGCATATTGGCGTTGGCATTTAAGGGCAATAGCGTACAGTTATCAATAAATATCTAATATACAAAAGCGATCACTCAAATAACACGAAACTATATTTTCCTGTTTATAAATATAACTTAATTAGATGTTGAACCCAATTAAATGTTTGACGTCATGTAAAACAATTTTTCTTTTTAGTCTTTGGTGTGTGGAATAAACCCACTGTGTTTTATAATTAGTTCTGACGAAGTAATTATATTTCTACCTAAGCTGGAGATTTAGGATACTTGGACAATCAAGAAGTTCAAGAGTTCGTTACAGTTTTTCCTCCTACTTTTATTTATTATGTTAAACATACACGGGTTTTAGAAAACAATTACAGGTGTCACATATTTAGCCGTTTTGTAGCAAAACATTTCAAGAATCTTAAAAACCATTTTAGTTTCCTTTTAAATATTAAAAATATTTACATCGTGGGATAATTTTATAAACTAAAGTTCACTTACATTCTTTGATATACAATTCAATGGCCTTGGCACAATGAGATGATAATATCAGATGGTATTTCAAATACAAAAGATCCTGTTATTGTACTATAAATGTCAGAAATTTTTAACATCCTATTTTGCTTAATAAAACCTGGAAAAAACTAGTAAATGGGCTATCAACAGCACAAACGATTATACAAATCCGTAGCGCAATTATTGAGATCAAAGAAACTCTTCAGCTGAATAAAATTATTATAAATATAGAATGTAATTATTTTATAAGTGGTTTATATTGCAAATAATATAAACGGTCGAATTAAAAATAAATATTGCAGTTTCTGTGCACCGTGAAATTGTCATTTTCTTCTAAACTATAGCTTGCAAAACATTCAGAGTCTCGCAATAAATGATTAGGGTATTTATTTATTTTATTTATTTATTTATATAGGACAACTTAAAAAACATACACTAATACATAATTTACAAACATGTTTTACAATTATTTTCTGAGTGTTGTCTTACTTACAAGTTGCCACGGCATGGTAAGGGACAGTTGCATCTAAGATTATACAATGCAATATCTATAATAATATACGTATAGTACGTATAGTATTGCAAAAATATTCCTCATGTAATCAACTGTATCGTCACTAACCGATACCATATACTCCAGTTGCCAGAACAGAAAAAAAAAAAACAAGACATTACGTTTGAAAGGTAAAATGCCTTTCGAATATGTATCTCAGCGACGATCTAAGACCCAAAGCATATGTTATGTTTACCAGTAATCATAAGGTATAAAAATTTGGTGTCTTCAAAACTTGTATTTAAGGTTTCCTATTATACAAATCTATGCTTAGTCCTAAAACTTCCAAGAATTACTCTTACTCGAGCAAAATGCAATAGATTAATCTGTGGTACATTTAATTTAAACACTTATGTCCATGCTAATGGGTTCATTTTTTAATTTAAAGCAAACAATAGATAAGAAGATAAATACATCAAAATTTGTTTTCCTCCATTAGCCAGTGTAGTGTTTTTCCCTAGCTGCTAGCTAGAGCTGCGCGTAGTAGAGTATTGTATCCTGAATGCAACAACGCAATAAAACATGTATACTTGTAACAAAATTGTAATAGGTCGACGTATGTACGTAATAGATATGGAAGAAATCTAATAAAAGGAGTCTTTATCCAATAGCAGAACTTAAAACAACAGCTTTTAGAATTCTTGTCTGTTAATCTGTTTTGTTTCTCTGTGCGTTTGTGCGCGCTAATATCAGGAACGGCTTAACCGATTTGGACGCGGTAGTGTGTTTTTCTCTAACTGCTAGCTAGAGCTGCGCGCACAAACGTATTATCCCGAATGTTAATATTAAAAAATAATTGGAAAATTGATAGGAAGAAGATAGAACCCTCTTTTGTTAACTTTGAGCCGTTCACAATAGAAGAGTACTAGTAGTGTAAAACTTAATCACTTGCAATACATGGCAAAAACACATACACAACATAAAACGAATAAAAAACTCTGAAAAATGATTTCAACGTTGCTGAAATATAGGAAGCTACGTTAAATTGTGGTCGCATCTCACACCGCATAACTATATTATACAACAATTGCATATAACTGTGAATCTTATTGCTTTTCAATGAAATTGATAATTGAGTTCCGTGTTCAGGAATTAATAATTCACCTCAAATAGTTTTGTCGTGACAGATGCGGGTAACAGTTGTCATTTTATTACGGCACTGACGCTATGACTATAAATGAAATACAGTAAAATGGCAAAAGGGCCGAAAATATCATACAAAGAAAAGTGTTGCCATTATGAAAAAAAACCTTTAAAAATGTTCGCAACTGTATCGCAATTATATCTAAATAAGCTTACATAGTAACTGCATCGAAGTATTTTATTTTTATTTTGTAATGTAAGTATGTTTTTTGGATTTAATATACCTACATATATAAACAATATATATACATGTATATAGGTAAAACGAAAGTATGATTAAATGTCTAACGAAGGCATATCACATTACAGAATAACTATATTTTTAAAGTAAAAGTAACTATGATAAAGATAAAATATATTCCTGCATCACGCAAGCCTGGTCAGAGTCGAATATAAAACCCGTTTCTCCACATATTTTTTTCTATGACTAGGGATCGTTTTTCTTGGTGTATTTTTTCGGATGAGAGGCAAAATTACATAATGATCGGATGAACGGTACCGCAGCCGCCGGCGTCGGAGTAGAACAATCATACAAACTTTTATAACTATTAGAAGATGCATATTTGGAGAATTTCCCACTACTACAAGCATACTGTATTATTAAGGCAATTATATCTACAGAACGTGCGAACAAGACTCTCGCGTGTGAAAAACCAATACAAAAAACACTTACGATACCTGACGATAGCCATATGGTTTATTGAATATGTATTGTGTATTTCGATCCACTCATTACGTACGTAGCTAAATATTCGTTTTCTTTAATCCTTAATATTTACGTCATTGTTTTACTGCAGTAATTAAATTCGTCATAAGTAATTGTTCTAAAACATATAAAGCGCGCGATAATGTCAAGAATTTAAATATTTCTCGTTTATTTTAAAAGATTTTTGTGTTGCCATCAAACGACCCGGAAGTAAAAAGAACGAAAATTA